TTAAGGCATTAGGATTTCTTCTCTCTTTCTTGAAGACAAAATCGTCTGCAATAAAATCCTCGCCTGCATGGGTTTGATGATAGATTAATTATTCAAAGTGGGGAATATCGTTAACCCTTTCACTGACAAGTTCTCTTCAGTAATTCTCCTTATACAGTCTGCTAAAAATCGCTTATATTTTTGGCTCTGAGAATTTAGTATCGAATCAAATAATAATCCCCTAATTGACATATTTCCATATTCTCATCACTTGTCTGCTTGATATTATATCGATATTGTAAGGAGAAACTATGTCTTGGTCACTGCTGTCAGCACATAGGTGAATCCAAGTGACTATTGTTTAGTCGACTAAACCATGTAAATCGCTAAAAATAAATATACATTATAACATTTGAAATATTTTCTTATTCCATAGAGACACACTTATCGTGTCCCTTATCAACTGTGGTACAAGTCTTTTTGCTGGCTTTGTCATATTCACTATGATGGGTTACATGGCCAGTGTCCTCCAAACAGATGTGGGTAACGTCGTAAAAGGAGGTAGGTATATTCAAAATTGGACAAAAAACGATTGAAGAGAGATTCTTTGCGCCATTTCCTCGTAGTTAATTGATATTTTTGTTATCATAACGGTCAATGAACCCGTGAACTCTTAGCGGCCAAAGGTCGCAGCGACTGAAATTCGCATCTTGCTGAGAGGAGCTTGACTACCAGGGAATTGGAACAGTTGCCTAAAGGAATAATTTGGGCTGAAAATTGATAACTCAAATATTAACGCGGTAACGTAAACCGTTAAAACAGTGGTAACGTTGTGACGCGTTAAACAAATGGAGCTGAAGTTGAGCCGTGACTGTCTGAAAAGTTGAAAATTAGAAATCAGACGAAATGTAGGAATGCTTAATTTCAAAATGAAAGATTACTCAACTTTATTTTTCCTCCTGTTCGTCCATTTTTGTGCTATGCAGGGCCTGGTTTGGCATTTATCGCCTACCCTGAAGGAATCAAACAGATGCCTGCATCACCTTTCTGGGCGTTCATTTTCTTCTTTATGTTGTTCAACCTTGGACTAGACAGTCAGGTATGTGTTTCTCGTCAAGTTTGCTGATCTAGGTTTGCATTGTGTAACTATTTCTTGTAGTATGTAGTCAGTTTTGCGGCTTTCGCTTTGATAATTTGTCTCTACTAGTAAATTAAACTTATTGGTTATTTTCTGCTTATTATCTACTGCGAAGGATCGTGCATCATACGTATTACTGGTTATTTTATCATTCATTGTCTGTCTGTCACAGTAACTAGCTCGTTTCTAAAACTAGCCATACGCCTCACATCTTTTCTCGATCCGTAGTGTAATTAGGGTTAGATTTTCAATGATAGTTTTCTAACGTCTCATTGTTTCGACTGCAACACAGTTTGTCGGTGTGGAAACGGTCACAACAGTGCTGGCAGACTGGAAACCAGGCTTCCGTCGCTACAAATCTGTCATCACACTTGGTTTCTGTATCGTGTGCTACTTACTCGGACTTGCTCACGTGACTGAGGTAAGCGACCTAATGCATCTTTCAAACCGGTAACTATTACGATTTTGATCTTGGACCAAATAAAGTGATGGTCGACACATGTGTACAAAATTTTCAATGTGGGCGTGTACTGAGCCGGCCGCCTTCAATGGTGAGCCCGTGGGGGAAACCGTCCCAAAGGCTTGTCTACGACTGTTCCTTGAACATTTTAGAGAACTCCAAGGGGCCAGTTACCTGGGGGGTGGGGGTTTGATGATTTTTAAGGCTCGCATGGTGTTATGGGGGAACGGAGGGGGATAAGTCGTCGCTAACACAATATAAAGGGGTGATTATAGAGCATTGACTGCTAATGAGGGGGATATCGTTAGAATACTACAGAGCCTAATTGGGGAAAGATCAATTTTATTATGCTACCAAAATCCTCCGAACTTCCCCCTCCCCCCTCCTCTGGGAATAAATAATGACCGGTCTCTAATGCAGGAACAAACGATGTTTCTCACCTCTACATTTGAAACAAAATCGCCTTTACTTCATTTGTTTATTCAATTCGATAGATAGCGAGTGCATCCCATTATTTGAGAATAATTGTCATATTATTGGGGTTTTTTTTAGGGTGGAATGTACGTGTTTCAGTTGTTTGATTATCAGGCTGGAGGGATCTCCCTTGTGTTAATAGCTTTCATGGAGGCCGTTGGGATTGGATGGTTCTATGGTAAGAATCTGATGCTTCTCGGCTTGCTTCACGGTAGCAGCTAAACATACCTTAAAGCTAAGTTTTCACCGCACTTAAAGCCCAACGATTATCTTCTATTAGTATACACCACACAGGGGAATAGTGCTTTTCGCACGCACTGATTGGCTGGTTCGGAAGTGATAGGCAAGTATTTTTCACCTCCGAGCAGCCAAAGAGACAAAACTGTGCGTCAACAAATTGATTTCTGACCAATTAACACAAGGTGTACTTTCACCTCTAGTCTCGGTAAAAGTGGTAGATATTTACCTCGACTCTCCGTAAGTTGTTAAATATCCACCACTATTCAAATATTCACCAAAGGCTTTGGTGAATAATTGTTAACTGCAATCTATCAACTTTCCTTTGACGAGAAACTGGACAATCAGCTTTTTAGGCTTTCGTTGCTGTTACTGGCTTACTTACCCGTTCGTTTTCTTTGGGTTTTGTTTAATTCATTCATCCATTCATTTATCTATTTATTTATTTGTAATGTGACGTTTCCTTTTGGTTTTCAGGTATTGAACAATTTTGCACTGATATCGAGAACATGATTGGCCACCGTCCCAACATGTACTTCCGCCTATGCTGGAAGTTCATTTCTCCTCTGATTATCTTCGTAAGCATGTAACATACATTACTATGTTATCAGAGGAATTGTACATTTTAAGCAGACTGAAGATGTACTTGTGGCCTGTTTGTTTTATCAGGGTTTGCTAGGTCACATCTCCTACACATTGAAAGGATAATAAATATCATATCTTGTTGTTATCACTTATCAGGTGATCTTCGTCTGGTTCTGTGTGGACTGGGCAGGCATCTCTTACAATAACGTGAAATATCCCGGATGGGCCGAGTTCTGTGGCTGGATGCTGTGTATATCGGCCGTTATGTGTGTCCCTGGATATGCCTTCTACAGGTGGTGGATACTTCCAGAAGGAACTGCTTACGAGGTAAAAATCATGTTTCAATAAAAATTCCCCATACCCCTCCCTATCAAAAACGTCAATAAACCGTTTGGGGACTTAGGGGCCGTTTTCAGGTTGTTATTGTTGTTTGTTTTCAACAACAACAACAACAACAGCAATAACAAATACTTTATTTATCGAGGGGGAAATACGTTGTTACCGGTAGCCCGGTAGTTAGGACTTAGGGCCGTTTTCACGTTGTTATTCTTGTTTGTTTTCGTGACTACTGTGCATTTGCTGTTTATGTTTTCACGATTTTTGCCAGCAATTTTTTTGTGTGTGCTGCTGGTGTTGTTCCTCTTGATACCAGGACTACTGGTTTTAAATTTATTGGATTTTTGTCGGTGTATTCAATTGGTAAAAGGTTGTAAAGTCAACGAAATCATCCAAATAATTCCTTTGACAATATGATGCATGAAAAAAAAAAACTGTCACCTCCTTCACAAACTCAGCAACGCGACATCTTTTTCTTTTTTCAGCGTTTCCGTACAATTCTCCAACCTGATCCAGTTATTATGGACAAGATCGCACGAAGGAACAACATCAAACTACAGCAGTAAGTTTGTCTCATTGACATGCAATAAACTAAAATACCTTTCTCAGTGAAATGCTCCTTTTTCTGATAAGAAATGTAATCAGTCTGCAAAAACAACTCATTTTCCAGAAGTAGATCTATCTCAGTCAATAAATAATGGCATCTTTCATTTATCATTCGCGCAGCAACTTAGTAAATATCACAGAGGTAAAGTTGTTTTAGTATACATTAAAACAGTGTGATAATACAGTGCAAAAAGATGACTTAAACTAACTTATGCCTGCAACAATTACAATATTTGCGGGCGAGATTTTTAATCCCTTATTGTCAGGTCCAAATCCCGCGCAAGTTGAGGTGAATACTAAAATTTTATGATGCAACAAAAATTAATGTTCGCGCGCGATTGATCAAAATGCAGTACGCGACCGAATATCCCCCAACTAAAACTGGGGGAAATTCGAGGATATGTAGCCAAAGTGATATTACCCAATTTTTCAAACCTTATGTCCAATAAAGAAAACTCTGCGCTTACATACATACATACTTTATTTATTCCAGAAGAAGGCTATGTATACACTAAGAGGAAATGGAAAACATGCTTCCAGAAAAGGAAGTTAAGAGGTTATCCCTATGTGAAAACTCCCTAAAAAATAAGTCTAAATGAAAATAAAATACTTAGTTATAATTAAATATTTAAATACAATTTAAGCTGAGATTTAAAATGCTGAAGATTATCAGCTTCCACTATGTTTCTTGGTAATTCATTCCATAATTTAACAATCCTAATGAAGAACGAATGTTTATAACAATTAAGTCTTGCTGGTTTGACGTAAAGTTTGTACTGATGATTTGCTCTCGTACATCTAGTTGTGGCAAAATCAAAAAAACTTAGAACTTAGAACTTAGAACTTAGCTTAGAACTTCATTCAAGATGAGAAACGTTGTGTATATGTTACAGAAGAAAGAACAAGTTTGTTCATAAAATTGTATCAGCGAACACTGAAAAGTGAACATCCCACGCCGTAAACAATAAGCTGTTCGTAACATTTTTCCCGCGCGTTGAAAAATATTTGAAAGATACTACACACGGTAGCTTCCTTTTGGCGCGAAAATCCACTCGTATATTTGTTTTTGATATTATCTGTTCCCCGAAGCTCACAATTCTCCTCGAGCTTCGCTCTCGGAAAACCGTTTGCATCTTGGAACAGATTATGTTCGCGCATAAATATCCGCACATGTTTTCGCATCAGATTGAAGCTATTGTTTATGTTTTCTGACTTCGAGTAGCCAATCAGAGCACGCTTTCAACGCCTTACAGTGTTTTAGTACATACCAAATCTATATATTAATTTCGCCTTTTTGTTTGTTCCATTGTGCAATTGTTTTCGTTTAGATTTTCTCTTTTGACTAATCATTTCCACCTTTGCTTGGCAGGTATACTTACTACTTGTGATACAAGACGGAGCTTTGAACGTGGAACTTCAGTTTAATCTGAAAATCGAGTTACTATTTTACTGCATAATTAATCACAACCGCTAAATATTGCTAGTTCATGTCCTGTTTTTTTTGTTTTTTTTTTATAAAAATAAAGTACATTTACATTACAATCGGCTTGGAATTTGTGAGGCACAAAATTATGGCCCTTCAAATTACCCAAAAACCGCCAAAGGGTGTACTGTTAGCAGTATTTAGTTCTTCTAGCGCTTTTTTCCCTTATTTCTCTGGAGGAGTACTCTGGATAGATTAGGTATTTTCTTTATAAAATAATTGTTTACCTAGAGCTGTTCCATTAATTAAAAGGTATCGTGGAAAAGGCGGAGAAAAACTGTTTGTTGTATGACACCACGGCCATTAATTGAAAGATCGGAAAATTAAGGATTTTCTCATCGTCGCCAATGTCTTCCCTTGTAAAAGTGGTATAAAACTAACTCCTTGGCCAAAATTTTTTGGGTCTAACGACCACATTTCTCTTCTGACTGGGTGGGGGGAGGGGGGGCGGAGGGGCTAAGGCATTTGTCAGTTATTTTGTATCTCTCTTTTGAAAAGCTACCACACAAAAAATTTAAGTTGTGCGAAAAAGAAATCAAACAGAGTCTGACCCTTTCACTTTAATTCCAACAGTAGGGAAATGATTAGTGGTAATTACCAAATGTGCAGTGAGGACAATAATTTCTTCCAAGAAGGTTAATTTAAATGGCATCATTATATAGTCGTATGGCACGCACGCCTTAACGTTTTTTTTCAAAGTTTTTTTTTTGTAGTTTTTAGGTGTCAAAATTTTTGTGGTTCATCTTTTCTGTATGTCGCAAGATTAAGTTCAAAACTTTACATAACCAAGTAAACTGTGTTATCAGTTGATTTTTATGAAATGAATATAACCAAACTAAGGGTGATCTTTTGTGTGTTGAGAACCGTTGTAGTCAGGGGCTGAAAAATGAGCTTAAACTGGGGTATAATCATTTTAACTTTAGGAACAGTTTTTCGCGTTCATTGTGATTTGGGCTTTAGCTAATTTTGCCTAAATTTGACGTCACGTGTTTCATCTGATTTATTAATATATGATTTGTAGAACGTGTTAAAGTTTCACGATTTTTGGATATATGCTTAGTTACTTCATAAGAAGTAGACAGCTTGAGAGAGAAGTGTTTTCTTAGAAAGACCATCTCAGCGAGGGTTCTCAAAATTTAGTAGGACTATAAAAAATCCCATCAGCCAAAACTCTAAATTTTGTACAGAGAATTAAACTCCTTGAATTAAAGAGCGAAACTCCACTGTTAGATCCTAGATTGGGTTTATTTCGCGCTTTGAATTAAAGTGATGTTATCGATGGATACATTTTTCAAACTGCCCGAACTCGACAACGAGAAAGTCAGAGGTAACTTATTTGCCATGTGGCCATTCAAAACCCAATTTTCGTTGACCTCAGTAAAACATAGGCTCATTTTAGATATTAGAATAATCAAGTATACAGTTTTCTACAGCAGGCTCGGTATTATTCTCAGCTGTAGTTAATGTAAGTTGAAGGTAAATAAAAATGGGATTACATGGATTTCATTTCCTTGTACTGGGTAATGGTAACACTAGTGACAAAAGGCAATGGTTCCCAGGCTCGCAGCGGACGGGGGTTGAAGTGACCAAGAGACGAAATAAGATTTCTTTCAGAGAAGACGTTTGTCCATCATAGGAACTTCCTCCTAAGCGCTCCACCCCCTAAAAAAAACAATCGTGCTCCGTTTTGTCTTTTTTTCTAACACTTTGATGTTACTCATTTCTAGGTGGACAGACGTACCATGCAAAGCTTATAGCGGTTTATTCAAAAACACCTTAACAGAACTCGAATGGAACTAATCATGAATCAGGCGCCCTCCTTTTGTCAACTTCATCCTCAATGTTGCCCTAATTTACAACTTAACAACTTAACAACTTTACGGATAGTTTTAAGTCGTTTATTATAAAAAAAAAAAAAAAGCATTCCATAATGACAGAAAACAAAATTCTTCCCTTAACACTTTCATCTCGAGGTTTTCTACAACAGATTTCAGCTTTCTGAAGGTATGCTAACAGAGGAATTGTTTTCAGCCCAGCTCAGCATACAAAATATGCACGTGACCATCATCATTGCCTGCCGTTGAATCCCACTGGTCGTAGTTTCATTTCCGCTCGAGACGCAGAATAGAGAAGTCCACCCCAGGTCTTCCAATTCACTCCGTTGGCATACGATGTCTGTGGTGTGTGAAAGTAAACGCCGTTCAAATTCGACAACAAGCAGGCGTTGTACCACCATGCTCCCATGTAGAACCGTGCACAGTTCCCTTCCGTGGACCTGTCGTTATCCCTGTCGCGTGTCGTGAATTGCATTCCGTTGTGCCAAGACAGAGAATCACCTGCAGTTCCTGAAGAACATAACAACTTTACCATCAAAATAAGTTCTGGATCTCAACAAGCTCTTGCTACCTTCATAGAAATACTTCCTACTGTACTTTGCAATGAAATGGAGATCTGAAGTTAGCAAAACCTTCTAAAAACTTTTTTAAAGTACGGTGCAAAATACTCTAATTAAAAGAACAAAAATCGCGCCCTCAAAAATAAAAAATCGAAAGCAGCATCTTCCACCGAAAAAAATCGTTAGGGGAGTCGAGTTTCCCGTACGCAATAGATCTACGATAAAGTAGTGTGAGCCAGCAGTTTTTAATAAATGCGGCATTTTGTTCTGTTTTCTGTCACAAAAAAGGAGAGTGCGTGCAGCCTGACAATTTCACCGGTTTTCCAGTTATATCGCTCTAAAAGTATATACACATAAATTAAAAGTCAAAAGTCCTTGGCCTCTTGTTTCCTTAGAACGAGGCCTGGTGCTTAAACATTCGTATGAAGGCGAGTTTAATTTGCATGTGAATGACAACTTATAATCAGATGAAAGGATGAGCACCAGGACTCGTTTTTAAAAAAAGGCCAATGGTAATTCGGAAATGGGCAATAAAAACAGGACTAACCTGTATATGAACCCAGCCCCAAAGTATAATTCAGCTTTTCATCGGAGACAACAAAATCCCTGTACAGAGCATGCGCAGACTGAAGCTGCTTTCCAGTTAAATCCACGCGTAGTATCATTCTTCCGTGATGGGTCAGTCGGTGTATATTTTCCAGTCCTAGCCAATATTCGCCTCCAGCAGTGCCAAACCCCTCTTTGTACTCATTCCATTCACGGAAAAAGTTAACCGTGCCGTCCAGTCTCTTTTGAAATACCGTCCAGCCACCGCCGTCGGTGGTCTGTCAAACAACAAATAAAAAAATTGAATACAGAAACGAAAAATTAGCGTGCTTCTATTGAGTATCATGGTTCTGTTAACCGTGGTCTTTGATAATCATAAGGAGTAAAAATGGTTGGGTTCAGAGCGTGTGTCATAATATCAATGATGTCAGATGACGTCAGTCACATAACTAGAGTTGAAGGCTTTCGCGACCAGTTTGTGCCATAATGCCTTTTTTCCTCTTCGTCAAATATCTACCGCATGGTGGGTAAGAAGGACTTTCCATAAAGGAGATTCATCACTTACATTAAACTAGTATTTCAGAACATGCCTGGCTGTTTTCTACCCTTAATCATAACTTTTTCCAGAGATTGAGGGATTCACACGAGCCTTAACCAAGACCCACCCTCAGCCACATCCTTGCTGTGGGAATTTTGCGACCCAGTACTCTTTACAAACAGCTATGTTACTTGTCTTCATAGCCTTCTGGTCATATTGAATTAAAAATGTTATGAGAGAAAATCTCTATGTCATTTCAGTCTGTAATGAGTCATTCCCAGTGGCCGAGTTTTTCGTTCTTTTTGTGTCTCTTGATGTATCTCAAGACCGTGTAAGAAACTGATGATGCACCCTTCCTTACTCCCGAATCGCAGCACAACGCTCTTCTTGGTGATATATCCATGTTGAAAATCATGTCCATACTCCTGTCTCTAATTAACAAATGGTAAACACCACAGCGTACACTATTGAGTTATGGATGCACGCGGGAGGTTGCTAAGCACGAAAGAAGCGTAAGAGTCGCTCGAGGCGATAGCCGAGAGCGACTCTAGCTTCTTGAGTGCTTAGCAAACCTCCCAAGTGCATCCATAACTCAATAGTGTACGCTGTGGTGTTTACCATTTGTTTTATAACATAACATTGATACATTGTAGCTAAAGAGTTCCCTTTTATTTAACAAATCTTACGCGACCAGAAAAAACAAGCGCGCGCGGAAAAATAGTCTTTGCATTTGCTCACGTCAGCAGCGTACACCCATGGGCAAATGGGGGACGCTAAATTGACCAATCAGAGCGCGCGCTTTACTTTGGTTATGTTATAAGATCAAACAGATACAATCCGCACTGACCTGGTCACAAAATACTTCCATGGTACCCTCACCATCAGGGTTGATGGTGTATATACCGTTCTTGTGATTACCGGACTTGTAAACATCAGCACAATCACGAGGAACTAAAGGAAAAGACACGAATGTGAGTCACCTCTCGGAGATATTCTGTCCCTTTAACTTTAACAGTTGAAAGAGTATGGAAAGTTTTCTAAAAAGTAACAATTAGAATCACACCAGATAGTGAGAACTAAAAACCGTCTTTGAGGGGAAGGTTATACAATAACATTATTCAGAAAAACACGCCTCGTTTTCAGTTCTGTGGGCTTTTGACCATACCTTTTGTATTCGAACTAAACTGATACCCAAAAGCAATGGACAACAAAACAATGCTGCAACTAAGGCAGGAGAAGGACGCGTACGTCACAAGATGTGCGTGAGTGACCTTCCCCTTTCCTTTACCTACCCCCTGTGTCAAGAAAAAGGGACAATATACGTAACTGAAAAAAAAGTTGCGTCATGTCCTTTTAAGGACATTTCGCAAGTTTTCCTATGAAAATGCCATGTAGTGATTGTTATCAGTACCCGTCAATGAATGATCGTGCTTAGTGCTTACACGACCGAAAATCAAGACGAAAATGCCACGAGTGAATGCAGCAGTAAACTGGGAATTTGTGCTCTCTTGGAATCTTAACGCTCTAATCAGATGGAAAACCAACAAGTCAGAGGTACGAGCGACTGTACCGTTCTTTTCTTTTGTTACAATTGTATTGCTTCAGCGCTGAAGTGTTATACCCCCAATCTTTAATTATTTTAAACAAAGATAGTAATCTTTCATGCTTCATTTCTTCGCCTACGTGGTGAACTTCAAAGCAGGGGTGTTTTCCAGAATGCTTGGTATGTATTTTCTTTTGAGCGAACTCTTCGCGTAAAATTTTCCCTACCTTGTCTTGATTCTCCGTCACAGTTTACATTGCTGACTTGTCGGCTTAAAACCGAAATGCGCCGCTCCTGTGAATCAATTTTGTCATTTAACTTTCCCAGCATTGACATGATGGAGTCGAGTTTGATCTCCAAATCCTCGTTAGTAACAGGGGATCTGCGGGAACGGCGTGTCTTTCTCTCATATTGGTCGAAATCTGCTCCTTGAACGATAACGGTGATGAAAAACCACAACATGACGATAATTAGAGAAATCCCTGCCATTCTGAACGCTAGAAAAATGTGACACTGCTAAACTGAGGGACGGCGCTGATAATACGAGATGAAATGCGATACATAATGTTTCGTCGGGGTCATATGGGTGGTAAACAAACCCGCTGATGGGGATCACAGAGACTCAAGTCACGCGAGCAAGTTTTCCTCGAAAGTCATTAACTCTTACTCAACCAATTGAGCGCAAAAAAGTGTTTTTTGTTCATAGGTTGGACAAACCAGGACCCAAATGAAGAAAAGAGACGAAGGCTGTTAGCATAACGTCTATTCCCTTTGTTAACGTCAATCAACAGTTGTAAGTAGAGTTTATTTAGATATTATCATCAAATTGTTAGCCGCTTATATTATGTTTAATATAAACATAATACCTTGGGCCTAACATTTCCCATACAATTCACATATACATTTTTTAAAATCATTTTTAAGTTGTTGGTTTTTTTGTTGTTGTTGCTGTTGTTTTGTTGATTTTGTTTCAGAAGATAACTTATCGACCAACCGGAACGCATATTAACTATGTATTTCATTTCATGTCGGAATGGGTTAAAAAACATTAATGATAAAGAAATTTACGTTCGCTTTGTTATTGAATAGCAAGAGAGCTTCGTTTGTTGGTTGGCCGCCCGGCTCTGCCAAGCCTTGTAGCTGTTCCAAGCATCTGCTATTCCAATCTCAAGTATCATTTTTTTTTTTTTAATAACAGGTAGGTTGAGCAAGAAATAGTACAAATAAAGATATAAGCTGTGGTCGCTGCTTTAGTTGTTTTTGTGACTGTTGCTTTTGCCTCTCTCCTACGCTTGCTAATATAAAGAAGCCCGCTATAAATAAGAAAATTTGGTGAATACTCAGAAAAGCACCAGAGCATTCATTTTTTGATTTATTTTTTCGCCCGTGTGATGGGCTAGTTACGACCAAGAAGAGGTGAAAAAAGCACTGAAGGTGCAATAGCAGCCTGCTTTACTCGCATTGCTTGGTTTTTTGTTCAGTAAGACCTCCTTATAACCCAGCTAAACAGCTCACCACTGAGTCCGCCCATGCTATTCTTCAGAATTCTTACTGCTGGATGTTATAGAGAGGAGCAATTACAACTGAATGTGCGCTGTATTTTACTCTCTCGATGATTAACGATATGTATTGATTATTAATATGTAACAATACAACTAAACCTTGGCTACTGTACAGCAGTAAGAAAGGCGCTTTAGTTTTTCGGTTCTCTGTGTTTGTTCATTGAGGCGCTAAAAATCTCCGGTTTTTTCGGATTTGATATCCTCTTACGTCTTTAGTTCGGATCCTTAATTTTAGGTTGGAGCGGTTTTATTTTCATTTGTTCGATTTTGAGGGAAATTTAGGCGGTTTTCCGTTTTCTTTACAGTCCCCAGTGCTCTCTCTGATTAGACAAGGAGGAGACCGTTCTTGTCACAAGCCATTTTTCGCGCCAAATTGTCAATACGTCGGCTTGCCCTTGTAACTTTCCCGCCATCTCCAGCGCAGTGCGCGCAAGCGTTCCTCTGTCTTTTCAAAGTCATGGAAGCCAAAATTGTCAAGGATCTCGTAAACACCTGCAGCTGTTGCAACTTCAGTCATCCACTGACTAAAGCAACGCTGCCATTTGGTTTTCCTTTCCATGTGTAGGTAGGTGTTGAATAGGATGAGGTAGAAATATCTCTCCAACAAGTTCAGACTCTTTTTTCTCAGCTCTGAAATTTCTTCTTGGTTTTTGCACACATTGCGATACTGCGAAAAAAAATTGAGCTTGTGTTACAGTTCCAAGGGTAGTTGGTGAGGTTTCAAACACGCGGTTCTCTGTTTTATGACGGACGGAGAAGCGTAGGTTAAACATATCACGAAAAAGGAGCTGAGTAGCAAGGTATATGGAGGCAGTTCATTCAATAGGTAGCCGGCCAGGATGAAAAATTGAAGGTGAAGGGGGAAGGGCGGTAAGAAGAAAAGAAGAAAATTGACGAGCTACATATATAGGTATCAGGTTTAACGTAGAAACTTCACGGGAAACTTCACGGGAAACTTCACGGGAAACTTTTGCGTAAAAGGTCAGCATTACATTTTCAGGTGACTCACCAAATTAAATGTAGAGAATATAATTTCTCTTGAGTGGTAATGCATGGGTGTCATGGTTTCTGAAATTCTATCCAATACGTAGTCAACTTCACGTTTTCTCTGTGGACCACAGGGTAGAATTCTCTTTAGGTGACGAATAACCTGGAAAAAAAAATAAAAACCAACAATAGTTGTGATAGTAACCTTTGTTACCTTCTCCTTGATCGCACATTACTCTTGTCTTTGAGGCTTTCTTCAGTGCTCTTTGTTCCAATAACTCTTTAACTTTCTAATCCGTGAGAATGACTCGCATCTTATTTCTCCTTAAGTGTCACTGCCGAATCACACATGAAGGATAAAGGAAAATGATCGGCCATCTAAAGAAGCTCTTGATTGTTTTGTAAATTCTCCTCGTCATTTCCACAGGAAATGCATAGAACAGTGTGGAGATTATGCATACTGTTGTCAGGTTGTAAAGGTTTAACACGCACAGCGCTGTTTCTATATAGGCAGCAGTTGTTTAATGACTGTCTAACTAATTATGTTATGGCAAATTGAATGGATGAGACGCACCGAAAATTCGCCCAATGTGTACTTAGCGTTTGGGACACAAGCTGGGTCTTGTTCATCCACCTTTGTGCCAACAGGAAAGCCCTGGAAAAGGAAAAATTCACAACATTAAGCTATTTCAGTGCTAGGTGTATTTGCCTTTTAGAATGGACTTAGAATATTTCATGTTGGGAACTTGTGTTAATTATCAAAGCTATTATTCCTAAATATTACATTTATGCAGATTCTTAAGAGAGCTTGGTCATTATATATTGAGTCGGTGTTTGTAACGTGCGACTTGGATTTCGCCCAGCACGAAACCACAAATTACCAGCTCGATAAAAGAGAAAAATACACTTAAAGTGATGATAGACAAAGAAATAAATAGCATGATCCGGAGTACGCAGAAAATTAATACGAATACCAGTCTCCCCATATTTGAACAAAGTAGGCTAAATTAATCAAATTGCTCTAAGAACTAAAATGAAATATTGCAGGCACTGCAGGCTTATTGAGTACTACAAAAATTCCTGTTTATACCCTTTTGTTGCAGTAAATCAGAGCCGCTATTGCCATTCCGGTGGTCGTTCGACCTTTGCCAATCTCGCAGTTAAAGACGATTGCAGGGCCATCTTCATCAGTGTAGATCTCATGCAGGCTATTCATGATTGTTAAAATGCGATCAAAGTCCTACATGGAGAAACCAAGAACAAAAGGCAAGTGAGAAATGTTTTTGAAGCGAGAGTGACATTTTGCCTGTTGTGGAATATTTTAAAGATGCTGAGATATAAGGTAATTGGTTTTCAGGGTATTCCGTACTTGATATCTATGCAGTATTTGTTTGTTGTTGTTGTTATGTTGTTGTTGTCGTTACTGCTGTTGTTGTCGTCTTTTCCGTGTCTGTACTGTTGTAGTCGTTGTTAGTGCTATTGTTTTTGTTGATTTTGTTGTTTTTGTTGATTTTGTTGTTTTTGTTGATTTTGTTGTTTTTGCTGATTTTGTTGTTTTGTTGATTTTGTTGTTTTTGTTGCTGCTGTTGTCGTTCTTGCTGTCTCTGCTGTTGCTGTCATAGCGCTGTTGTTGTTCTTGGTACTTTTTTTTTTACTATGATTATGTCACTTGCAGTTGATAGTGGCGCGTCCAATCTCTCGATTTGTTACCCAGATATCAACTGAACAAACTAAACACCGAGTATTTTATTGAATGCGAATTCACAATTTTAAATACTCCACGGCCTTTCACTCTACCTTCTCCTCAGGCGCTTTGTCCTCTGATAATGGCATTCTAAAATACAGCATCTGTGGATTCTTTGCCATGCAGAGCTCTGCCGCTTCACGCGCTGTTATAACACTGTTCAAATCTCGCTCCTGGGGACCATACTGAATATCAGTGTACACCTGAAAAAATATACAGCTTATAAACAGGGGCTGATTCGAGTAATTCAGGAATAGAAGCAAGTGTTAGAGCTTGGTTGCGAGGATCCGTCAGCAATCATTAGAGAACAAATGCACAAAATTTTAAGGGAAAAAATCATAGATTTTAATTCCAAGATATAATATGGATATTAGTAAATCATTACATGAGTAAACATTGTTCTATCACACTGAAACACAGAGGATGTTCTCCTCAGTCAAATTCAACTTTTTTTTTACCACTGTTTTGGTACGGAAAGCCAATAGACGTTACGAAAACCCAACAAAAATACCTTGTTATGCATTACTAACCTGTGTGTATCGTTTCTTTCCTTTTTTGAGCAGTTCTGACTTCAGTTCATTCTCCTTTTGCTGTAAGTTTTGAAATGGAGAAATGAGTGAAAAACGAAAAAAAGGAGACGAAAAGTACGCTAAGCGAGAGCTGATTCACTTGTAACAGTATCCTATAACCCTGAGCTAACACCACTTTTATGTTTCAGGTAATAAACCATACATTTGCTACGGCGTTTGCTGGGGTCAACTAACATTAAAAAGAAGCACTTCAGATAACGATAGACTTCAAGCGGGGCAAAACACTAACTTTGGGGCACCCCCTTATAAAGACAACCTCATTACCAGCCAACTCTCAGAATTCATCCCAGTTTCTAAAGTATGAGGGATTGCTTCTATCACCTGGATGGATGCCACTTCGCTGTAAAATTACCCAAGCAATTTCTCAAGTTTCCGTGACAAATCCCTCGCACTCCATGTGTAATCTTGGTGGAGAGCCACACTGTATCACCCCAAAACACAGCACCATAAGCTAGGAATACAGCTCGCGGCTAGGACTCTTATACCGAGCCGGCAATTAATTCTCTCGAGATAAATTTACACCGTTTAATGAACAAAAGACCTCACCTCAATTTCAGAAGTGTCCAGTCCTCTGAAAGGCATATGCTCACTCAGACTTGATAACTGAAGTAAAAGGAGGTCAATAGCTTGAAGGATTTCTCAAATTCTAACAGCTATATGAAATCCCTTGTAACCAGGGAAGCAAATAATGAAGTTGAAAAAGGAAAGCAAAACAAAACGTAAAGATAGATATAACGGAGTTATTCTTTATTTTTGTATGCTCTCTTCAAATCATGTCTTCTTCCATGTGAAAACAACAGTTAGATTACTCGTGTTTTATGTTTTGTGTTTCATGCGTGATACAACATTGATCATGACTGCAGGGACCAATCCCAGGACTGTGGACAGGACAAAATGGAAACCATAAAAAAAAAACATTCGCTCCGACGAAGGGCTAACGCTCGAAACGTCACCTTTTGTAATCGTTACGGTGGCCAATTTACCATTTCAACTTTGTTGATATATCCAAATTATTTCGTTACCCCCACCGATGCAGCCCCTAACAGTTTCTTTAGAAACTATCAGCCTTTAAAAAAAAAAAAAACAGATCTTCAACCTCACCCCAGTGTCAACTGCTCCAACGAAATCTGCCTCAGCACATTTAGGATACGTAAATCGCTATTCATTATTTGTCTTTATTACGCAAAGCGGAGACGCCTGGTGACAAATCCTTGCTATGCAGACAATTACCCCGCCCTTAGTCAATGAAAGTTGGCAAAATGACTCAAAATAATGAAACTGCTATTGAAGGCAAACTGCAGCAAGTTTCACATCGGCAAAATACGTTTGGATTCTTCTTATCCTCACCTCTCTTGGACTAAATGTGCTTCCATCACAGTCCACGACGAGATCCTCTCTTAGATTCAAGAACACGACTTTGGGATGAAGACATTTTGGGCCCAAAAGATAGTGAGCAACATTGTTTAGGCCCTGAAAAACCAAAAGAACAAGTTACTGAACGGTGATTCGCGCTAAGATAATTTTTTTGGTTTAGTCGTCTCTATTCAAGTTATCGTTATGTTGCTTTTCTCAATTTTTTTTGGTGGTTGTATTTGTTGCTCGTGTTACTGTTTTTTGTTTGCTGTGTCCGTTTTTGTCCAATGAGTTGCTTCTTTCTTGTTGAAGTACCTGTCTTGACGGCTGACACATGCCATAAATCGGGAATCCGTGAACCTTTCGGAAATTGGACACCTGAAAATAAGGGTTACAAAACAATTACCTCTCGTTAAAGCGAGTTACTATATGTCTCTTTAAAACAAAAGTTACCACTTGTTTAGAGTTAAATACCTCAAACTCCCGCTGAGTGCTTAAAACATCGAGACTAACTTGTTCATCAGCAACCTAAAAGCAACAGCAATAGCTTACATTAAATCACCAAGAAATTTTGACCATAAGAAGACCTTAATGTATTCACTGAGAAGGTCACGAAGGTTAAAACGTATTGCAGAAATAACTTTGGTTGGAATTTTTTTTCAGAATAGTAATCATATTTGAACATCACATATCATTTCAGTTAACACCCAAATAAAAATCAATTACCAGACAAGTTTGATTTTGGTATTTAGAAGTGAATTCAGATGTCACTCCTTTCTCCATAACGTCAATATGACTCAGCATTCTGTAGAGCCAAGGCCTCTGCTGCATCCACTTCCGGAAAGTTTGAGCAAACATGAGTGGGAACTGAGTACAAGAGAGAAAACTCGAGTAAGCGTCCATGCCATAACATAAAAAACGCAACAAAAGGACTTGAACATAGAAAAGCCCACTGTGAGATCCAAGATTCTTGGCTCAATTCATTTTTATTCTTACTGTTTATTTTCGAATTTGTTTCCTCTCCCTTCCCAGCCCTAATATGATAGCACGACACCATATTTACTTACAGGTCCAAACGATACATCGTGTATCACAAGCGATTATTTAATCACTTTCACCAGAGTGTGGTGAGGGTCGCACAACAGAGCGAGGCTCCAAATTAAGTGCGCCCAATATCCCACCCATCCCACCCCAGGGGAGGACATCCAACACACAGTAATCTTGTGTGTGGGAAATTAACGTCTCCTACCCCAACCCTGCAGGAGACGGGACCTCCATTTATTCGTCCCTATCCGAGAAGACTAGAATATCTAATCATTTCTTGATGTTATAGAAAGGTAGAAAATTCTTCTCAATTATTTTAAGACCCTGAGTGTTGGTCCGGCCGGGGCTCGAACCCTCGACCTCCCGCACAACAGTCCAGCGCTCTATCCATTGAGCTAACCGGGAGGTGGTTGATTAAAACAACCATACGGTTTGAAGACCATAAGAAACTCAGCCTGAATTGTTCAACTTCTTAAGCACTTTTGATCCTTTCCATTGTTTATCATCCCCAGTCCCTTCTTAGCTCATCATCGACTCTGCTGCGCAGTTTCCTTTTACAGAATTAATATTTTGTGCCACCATACATGTTTAAGGCGGTTTTAAACATTGTGCAAAAATGGATCAAAACACTCTGACGCGACTGCCTTGAAGAAGTCACGCTTTACTTTACTCATCTGTTAGCTACACGAAACGATAACTTGCCATATGGAGCTTTTATGATTTCCACTTATCTCACCTGTTCGTGTAAGTAGGCATTAAAAAGGATCAAGAAGAAATATCTTTCCAGGGCACTCAGTCCTCTTCTTAACCAGTATTCCCGTGCACTATGACCCTGCGGACAATTTCAGTTTTTTTGATTGAATGAAAACAGAGTACGCCATACCTACGCTAAGGAGTTATCTGATGGTTCTTCATTTGTTTCAGTACTTTTCTGTGTTCACAGGGCAAGAAAGCAACCTCATGATACTATCACAGCTTACAAAGAGCCAGAAAAAAAAATACAACTGTGTTTGTGGCACAATAAACCCACGAGGGTTGTTTATGTTTTCTTTGTTTTGGCTGTCTTCTACCGCCTTTAGCGACTTCATCGCCGACATTGTCCAAAAGTTTGAACTTTGTACCTCCGCTTCACGCACTTTTTTTCCTTGCACGGAATCAAAGGGTGCAATTCCGAGCGGGCAAGATGGGCTCATCTTGCCCGCTAGGGTAGCCAATCAGATTTCGCTTCATATTGCCAACGAACGCTTCCAGCTATTTAATAAACATTATCACCGAAGCTCTTTTAAGTCAGCAGGGCGAATATATTCACTAATCCTGTTAGGCAATGCAAAATGTTTGTACAAGACTTCTCTACTCTCTTACCTCAATTTTATAGTCATCCTTTATCTCTTCTAGCTTACATCTACACTCAAAGCTTACAGACCGCAGATTCATGACGTCAGAACATATGTCGATGACTGAATCAACCTAGCAAAATACACCACGTAGCATTCAGCTTTATTTGGTGAGATAAGCCGGTTGACTATTGGCAAAATGCAGCGGGTATGTTGAATTCAGGAATATATTTACATGAAGATATTTGAGCGGCCGGGTTAGGGGTTTCAACCTAGGTACGAGTGAATACCTCTCCCGCTCGCTTGGCTTGGGAAGTTTAGATATCGGTACCAACGCCCTACGTCACTCGGAAACGCCGCCTTCATTTTCTTAGAGGACGATCGGTTTCTCTTTCCACTGCGCTTCGAAAACGGTTCTGTTTTCTAACAGGTTAGGTTCTTAGTGCTGTTAAGCAAGATGGGTTAGGGTGGACGGGCAAGCCAAAGGAGCCTTTTCGTGTAAGTGTTACGATGAGCTACGAGAATAAAAAGTTGATCCATTCTCTGACCGTTGATCTAACACGGTACACTTATTAACTGAAAACAAACCTCGTGTTTAATCTGCGTTCCATTTGGAAGATTTTTCACTAACTGTTGAATTATTCTAAATTCTCCCTTCTCCAAATTCGGGTTGTTTTCGTCCATAGGCAATGGAATGGCGCTGGGGAGAAAAAAAAAACAGTTTAATTCCTAGATAGATAACTAAATATAGTACAAATTTTACTTCATACTTCCAATACAAGTTGAACAAGTTAGTGGTCATTACGATCTGAAAATCCTAACTCTGATGAAAACAAAACATTACAGTTCCGTTAATGGTTTAACCTGGAGAAACATTTTGAGTTTGTGGTCCGCGATCATCTGGATGAGCGTAGATGTCACCAGAAAAGAACTGTTTTCTGTGGCAAAGATTGAACTATCGGGGTAGCACAAGGGAAGGTCACCGTCGAGACTAAGTTTGTGGAAATCATAGAGTAATTAGACATAAACGTTCCTTGCCTTGTGCTTTGTGGGCCTGGGGCTATGACGTGCATCTATTTTCTTTTCATCTTTGTTTTCTTTCAATTGTCCTGTAATGTTTCCAAAAACTATATCCGGAACAACCTTACCAGTACCCTGATGAATCTCAGCTGCCATAAGAGGCGTGCTCAATCGGGAGGGATCGGAGTTTGTTCTGTCCTTTATTTTGTTTCTTTCACCATCTTTCCTTACTATATACGACATTCTACCAAATTTATCATATATTTATTTAAGAAGAAATAAATAAATACAAAAAAATGAAAGAAATACCCACCCGAATGTAGCAAAGCTACTTGAGTCGGGTGGTTGCACGGACAATATTAAAATATATCAAGGAGGTTGGAAATAAAAATTACAAGGAGATTACAATATTGTCAATTTAGAAAAGTGAAATTGATTCAAACAAGTATATGATTACGAGTAACAACGAAGCAAATAAAGTAAATTAAAGTATGACTAGTTTACAGTAGGTTATTAATGTAAATAAATATAGAAGGTGCTATTTTAGTTCCATAAGTCCAGCAGTCATTTTAGCAACAACGGTTTTTTTAGTGTCATGATTGTTTTCATTGTTAAGTAATTTTAACAAAAGTGTATGGACTTTTTTGCTAAAAGACCTTTTAGGCAAGGAGCGCAAGCTACATAGAAGATTATTCCATACTTTAGGACCAAGTCTTAAAAATGAAGAGAGTTGTTGGTTAAGCCTTGATTTTTTGACATAATAATTGCCAGCATTAGAAAATCTCGTATTGAATGCGTGAATTTTATGAGATTGAGTAAAGAGATTTGATATTTTAGACGGTGTAATGCCAGATGATACATCATGCATTTGGGCAGCCACAGTTTCAAGGCACAACATGTTAACCGGTAAAATATTTGCAGAAATAAATAGTGGTATGGTATAGTATGAGTTCTGTATTCCATACCATACAAAAATCGAAGAACACGCTTTTGTAAAAGAAGAAATTTGTTCATATGACTTTCAGCAGCTTGACCCCAAGTAACTATGCCAATGCCTATGTTATTCTTCCAGCCGATTGTATAATCCTACACCTTTGATTGAAAATAAAGCCCTACCAATGATTAAAAAAAGTTGTCTCGGCACTTACTGTGCTTCAGTTGGGAAGCCAGTCCTATGCGAAGTAATTAGACATCCAATGACCATGCCTGTCGTGGTTCGACCTTGGCCCACGTGACAGTTGAACAACATGGCTGGCAGGGGAGCTGAGGAATTTTTGTCGAACAACTGAGGTATGTCTTTAATGGCAGTGATGAACTGGTCAAAGTCCTGCTCCTCTGGAGCGTTTGTGGCAGTTATAGGGATCCGAGAATACCTGCACGATGTCAAAAGGCTTGTAAGAATTCTTATTTGACGGGAAAAGACTGTTAATTTTATTGCTTTTATAGAAAGTACCATGTACCGGTGGGCTTGTGCAAAACACAAAACATTTGATCGACAAGCGTGAACGGACAAAGATGGTAGAACCAGAGAAAATGAAGATAAGACGACCAACCCTGATGTTTAAAAAACACCATTATCTGTGTTGTGGACCGGAGCAGAAATGTGCGGCTGGTCGAAACTAAAGACACTTTGCTCACGTTAGAAATCAGACCGCGTAAGCGAAGTTTTAGGCTGAAGTATGTGAATTGCCTCGGCGCTTCTCCAAGGGCAGGGCCAGTTTGGTCGTGACCAGTGCTTTAAAGTTGCAAGAGCCATTTAAGGGCTGACTGATCAAGCCTTGGTGAATAACTGAAGCCTAAATCTTGCAAAAGCACAGCCGTAAATTCAAGATCGCCCCTTAATACGGACATGATACTAACGTCAAAAGAATGGATACTTAACTTCCAATTTTGGAACAAGCCATTTTCCCAATTCAGAAATCACTTCTCAGTTCATTTACAGTTAACGTAATATTGAGAATAAATTCTAAGATTAAGCACCTCCTCCAAGAATTATACAGCAGCACCTTTCTATGCAACAAAATTCGACAAAATTCATGCAACAAATTAGCGACTACCAGGGAAATGGCTCTCGCGTATCTATGTTACCTTAGGACCGGGGTGAGGAAGATTTGCCTGCTGTATATCTCATCCAACACACACAAATCCTCTTCGTAGGCTACTTTGTAAGTATGAGGTTCGTCTTCGAAAGTTTCCACGTTATTATAAAAATAAAATTTACCTCCTTCATCGATTGAAAACCTGATAATCTGAAAAAAGAAAGAGGAATCAGCTGTGGTAATTATCCATCCGATGGAGAGTGTAGAAGACAAAAAAGTCGGACCTTAAAATCAACGAGGAAATGCAAGTTGAACACCCCAAAACTAACCTTCATATGGAACCGGCCGACCTACACAAGCACACTTCGTTTTGCTTTATCTAGCCAGAGGTTATTTCAGCCCAGAAAATGTTAAGTTGCTAGTTGGAGAATGACTTACTGCACATGCCCGCCTCCCGGTTAGCTCAATTGGTTAGAGCGCCGGATTGTGTTGTGCGGGAGGTCGAGGGTTCGAGCCCCGGCCGGACCAATACTCATGGTCTTAAAATAAGTGAGGAGAATTTGCTACCTTTCTATAATCAAGAAATGGATAGATATTCTAGTCTTCTCGGATAAGGACGAATAAACCGTAGGCCCCGTCTCCTGCAGGGTTAGGGGTAGGAGACGTTAATTTCCCACGCACGAGATTACTGTGTGGTGGATGTCCTCCCTTGGGTGGGATGGGTGGGTGTTGGCCCTGAAAAGCCCCTATGGGGAGTGGTCAATTAACCTATGTATGTATGTATGCCCCAGAAATAACCTTTTCAGGATACAAGCTGAATCGTCTTGTTAAAAGTAGAAACGCGTAAGACTAAGGGATACTTTTTACGTTGTCTGTCACGGGCATGACGGAGAAACACGCCTAAGGGCCAATTGCAAGGAGTGGCAAATATTTGGTTTACCAAGAAGAAATAATGGGACATTATTTTTTCTTGATGTACTGGTAAGCTTCAAAATTTGTGGTTCTATTTCGAGTACTTACAATGTCCCACGTCTGGCACATAATTTGACTTAACATTGAGTTTATGATTTTGATCTCAAGCAACTGAATTAAAGAATGGCCTCAACTAAAACAGTCATACGCTGGTTTGACGATATAATCATAGTACAGTCGGGAACTGGCCCTTTAAACAGTTCAGCAATTACGCCTGTCTTTGAACAACACTTTCATCGGCGAGTTCAAATTTTTCTACAAAACATCAAGAGAACAAAAGTTGACAAATTTACCTCCTCTCTTATTTTGAGCTCTGTTTCTGCCAGTTCTTCAGGTTTCACTCCATGATTAGCGATGTTGCCTTTCAGACTGGTCGGGTCCCGTGGGGAGTACGGCACAAAGTCGTGATTGAGACCAACGAATATCACTGGCTCTTCTCTCAAATTAAATGACACAATTTCCTGTGAAAGTCCAGGAAATGAAATGTTAATGACTGTGACGTTGAAAAATTGATTAGGATTACATTTGGGCTCTTGATTGCCGTCGAATCCCCTAACTACCAAGGTGATCATTTACAGTGAACGCAATAAATCGCAGAAAAAAAGAAAAGTAACTGTAGTGTATAGGATGCCAACGAGCATGAAGTATGCGCGATGTAATGCGAGGCGTGATGGTGTGATGTAATACCCTCGAGACCTGCATATATACAGCATGTGTTTAATTCTTTAGGGAGTTCTCTTAGGTACATGAATAAAACCGATTTCATTTTAACCGCTGTGTACTACAGTAACCGGGGTCTAAGCCCTGTTAAACAGTGTCAAACAATGGATGGTCCGCTGTTCAAAGGGTCGACGTGTTACAATATATAAGTCATTTCAGTGTCGAAGGAAATCAACCCTTTATAGCATTAAACCCTGAATATTCGTTAACGATTGTAGAGAAACACCACAGAAGTAAGAATGAAATAAGGATCGAGGACACCGATGGACGTGGATTGCAAACAGAGCACCTTTCAGTTGAATATCGAAAGTAATAGGAGATTGCATTGATCTTGCTTCACTCGCTCAGTGATTAGTCTAGAAAACTCGCGCGAACCTTTCAACCAATCAAATGCCAAACCAATCGCGACCTGGTCCCTTGCGATTTCCCGCACTTTAAGCAATTTGCCTGTTTCAACTTTGATTTCCCATTGGCTATCTATGATCTTAACTTGTGTTATGATAGGTTGTTGTTTTTACTTTGGTCTTGGCCTTTGACAGTCAGTTGAAAGGAGCTTTAACGCAGAAGTAATAACGTGGGAGTCAATTAAAAGCGAGTCATTATCCAATGTATTATTCGACTAAATGTAAGTTTTGGCTTCTGCGTCATCATTTCAAGTTCTTTCATAATTTTGTGGAAATTACTTTAACACTCTTGTTAGAAGAGAGACTGAAAGGCAGCAAAATAAAAGATTGAAAATGTATTGTGGTAATGCTTGAAAACGGTTCAGAATTACATTTTTCCATGGTACTTTACAAGTAGCAATTTAAAAAGCGTGAATGTTGAGCATCACAATTATTAAAAACGTTTCCAGCGTTTTCTGTTATTTTGATTAAGAATGCAAAGTGATTGCTGATGATTACAATCAAAATTTGATAGAGGTTAAACGTAAACAAATAGAACCTTTCAACTTTTTAATTACAGCACCGCAAGACATTATTGAGGGCTTTGAATTTTCCTTCTATTTAAACAATAGAGTGTTTCTGTCGAGGAACTATCGGCTGATAGTTGCCCCGCGGAAATTTGATGTTCTTAAAACAAATATGNACTCGGGACCGTACTGGAAGAATATCGGCCCTCAGTCTTTTTTGTACGGACCTCGCTGCGCTCGGTCCGTACTGTCAAGACCTCGGGCCAATATTCTCCCAGTACGGCCCTCGCGCTTGGTTCATAAGATATATATAATGATACCAAACAAAAAATGAGACGAGAATTTTTAAACCATTGACAACTTCAATAATTTAGAAGACAGACCAGTATTTTGTCTGCGCAAGATAATTGGTCAAAGAATACCCGCGATCAAAACTCGTGCAAGAAAGATGATGGATTGCTGACGCCAGAAGTTGAGGTCAGAGTGACGTAAGTCCAAAAGCGATGGGCACAAAAACCCTGTGTATTTCAGTACAATATACAAAACTATCAGAAGAATGATTCCAAGCAAATTAAAATGTAACAGAGTCGAAAGCGCTAGAGATACTTGCCTTTAAAAAAAGGCGAAGGCAAGCCTTGAATTCGTCATTTTAAAAGTATACCGCTTTTAGCTTCGAACAAATGGCCTATTTCAAAGAAGTTACGCATAACATGCGTCACTACATGCTACAGTGTTAGGTTTGAGGAAGATACGCATTTCCAAAACAGAGAAACGATAAGACGCAATCTAGTTTCCGAGACGCCATGGAGCGATGAGCGCCCTGGAGCTGGCAGGCGGAAATTAAAAATATGTGCTGCATATTAAATTTGTGACATATGTTCAGTGAGCGAATATAGCGTTGATTGAAGTGTCTAACAAAAGAATTTTTTTTCCTTTATTACTTTGATTACCCCGACCAACTTAAGTATTTGTACGACTAACATACACCTTTAGTTATGTTTATGTGGGATTTTTCCCATGCTTTAAGCTATATCAATACGAGTTGCACTATCAAAGGCTTCAAAATCGATTAAATTTGTCCCACGAAATAACGTTGCCATGTCAACCTCGGTGTTGTTATTGTGTTCCCGCCATACTAACGCGAGCGACTGAAAATACACTTTTACCAATATATTCGAGTAACGACGCTTCTTTAAAACGAAAAACAGAATAACGAAAAAATTCGTATCTAACGCGTTTAGTAACGGGTTAAATCCCAAAGGCGATCGAAGGTTTAGTATTTGATTGATAAAACAAAATGGCATAAATGTGATCCTCGTCGTTTCTAGTGACATTTAATAGCTGTTTTCCATCCTGCTGCCACTCACTAAAATTACTTCTCTTGACAAGGACGAAAGAGGCCAAAAAGCAAATATCATTTTTTTATTCTCACCATAACGAAAAAATATTACTACACGCTGTGTCCTTATTCAGTATCTTAGGGCAAAGATATTCGCCCCATTTCTCAAAAATAATTAACTGGGATAAAAGAACTTTTTTCGTACATTCATAGAAGGACAAAACATATCGATCGCCTCTTGGACTAGCTACGTGCGGGAATTTTAAACGTTACCAAATATGTTTTTTTTAGACAATGGTAACTGATATGCCTAGCCTTTGCGTCTTCGTGTCACTTCGTCACGCGTAAAACTTGCTTTCCACAGGAATATGTGTTGTCTTTACCATTCAAAAGAACGAAGGGAATCGTTATTCGAATTTTGGCTTTAAATACGACCGGTAAGTTTTCAATTACTTAACCAGGACATTGTAAACGCCAGCAATACTTTTGTTTTCGCGCGGAAATAAAACTAACAACTTAGGACATCATCGCACGACCTGCACTCAAAACTGACCCAACAGCAACACCACAATAGGAAGGATTTTTAAACTCTTACCTTGTGTCCATTTCCAACCAAAGTTTGAATAACTTGAGCTAATCCATCCCTGGACGGTTGACCCATTCCATAAACCGGATAGGGACCGCGACTCTTTCGAAAGTTCGGGGCCCCGTTCAAGTCCAAAGTCTTGAGCTTGTCGATTCCATCAAAATGATCTTTAATCAGAAAATATTTGTCTTGAATAAGTCCATGAATGGGAAATCCTTCTTTGATAAAGCCCCGCTTCCGAATAAGTGGTGTGTTTGTTGGCTCATAACTTAATGTTATGAAGCCATTGGAGTTTTTTTTCGAAATCGAAGACGTCTTCCTCGATAATTTGTCCTCGGCTGATGGTGTGGAACCCTCCTTGACGTTGGGGTTCGAGCCTGTTTGTGATCCTCCGCTACTTGCTCCGGTCCCCATCTCCCAACATCGGAAGAGACCTTCAAAATTACACACAGCAAATAATTGTCGATCAGTTATAAACAAAGAAGAAATGAACTTTCCCTTGAATTCGACAACAGCGGAGAATCGAGACTACCTACTATTTGCATCTACTACCCATCATTTTATGTATGTTGTGAAAGGATGATGTTCAATTTCTACGGCTCAAATTTGACAGCCGTTGTCAAAAATTGGCCAATCGCTGCACCACTTTACCTAAAAGCCAATAAAATGCTGCAGGTGGTTCGATAGGGGCAAACACAACTTAAATGCACATGGCTACGAATGAGATTAGAGAGCGCTTAGACTTAACGGCTTAAAACGCATGAAATATGAACTTTCATAAAGAGACGTTTCACTTCTCTCGGCACTTAAGAAGCGTTTTTCATCTCTCATTACTGTGACAGTCTGTCAATCCACAAACAGTCTGAATGGTTCAAAACTGACCGCTATCGCTTGCTGCGAATGTGTTCTTTCCATTGGGCAAAGAATTGTAATAAATCTAACGCAAAAAACTCGTTTCGTTTAAAATGGCTCCCTACAGTGCTGATAATGAGTAATGGAGTTGTTGAGAAGCTGACGCGACGACCTGAAGTCGCCCCAACGCAATTTAAGAGCGATTTACATATCTTTGAATTTCTACAATAAATAGCCAATATAGAGCTAGATACTACAATGGCATTATTTTCAGGATGACAAATTTAGCTTTAATTCTCAGTCTAAGTTTGTTTCTAGGGTAAAGATCGACGACAGCTAACCGCCGTAAAATTGCCCACACGTCACCAGCTATTTCTGGAGCATCATTTATCTGGGCACTCTTGAAATTCCTGAAGGCTTGAAATGACGTCGATTGTTTCTACGGCAAAATCGCATCTCTTACGAAACCTAGAAAACCTCGTTTCCCAGAAACAGAAAAAGCTCTTTTTTTGTCCCTTTTATGGACAGAAAGAATATATTCCCCTTTCTTCTCTAATCTTTGGAGGAGTCCAATAATTTCACCTCACCTGAATATTGTTCTTGTTCGAGTCATAAAAAATTATCCTCATTAAATTTTTCTTCTTTAACTGAGATTAATCCTTTCCAGGTGTGACAAACATGGTTACTGTTTGATAAGTTTGTGTTATTAAATTTTTTTTTTGGCGGACTGATATGAAATACTCTCTCTCAGGAAACCTCTAGATAAAGTATTGTGCTCTGTCTGTTTTCCAGGGGATTTTTTGTCGCCGGTGAAATAGCTTTGAGATGATAGAAAAATAAATCAACAAAGGTTTCACGTACATCTAATCGTCTCCAATTTTGCTCCTATTAATTGCAATTTACCACTATAAATGTTCCCTAAGTTACTCCACGACGGAACTGCCACACGACCGAAAAGCTTGAATTCGGAATGTTTGTCACAATAGATCGATGAAGTACAAACTACAGTCGAATTATTATATTTTGTATTGCACCTGCCATAAGGTGAATTTATTACAGTTTTATATTTTATGATTATGTTCCAAGTCCGCTTTTCGTCGACTCGTTTACCCTTGGTTCTATAGTAGGACAAAAATTTCTTTCAAAATATTGCCGAATTACTGTTCATTAATAACAAAAGCTGATTTAAAATCGGTCTAGAAATATAGCAATATGACCATGGCCGTCTAAATATTTCTCATTTCAGGTATTTTTGTTCTTATTTCAGTTTAAAAATGTCTTAAAACAGCTTTTATGTGAATACACCCACCGAAATCAAACCGTAGTTCCCCGATTACACATGGTCGTGCTTTAGCTGGCGATTTTTCTAGATTTTTTTCTTCCTTTTACCTTCATAAATACCCATTTGTATCAGATAAACATGACCCACTAATAAAACTTAAGAGAGCATTCGAGGTTAATGAGACGTACTTTTAAATTTTGTAGACCAACAAAAAGGTATTACAACAAGTGAAAAGCGGAAGAGAGAATCCTGTATTTTTGTCTTGAGTTAGTCATGTGAAGGCCTTTCTATATATTTATATCATTTGCTATGAAATCTTCCAAACAAACTGATAATTTCGCCAAAAAATGATAAATGTAGTAATAGTATTACATGTAATAATAATAGTAAAAAATTGCTAGTAACTCGCGCATGGAAGTTAAAAATTGTTTATTTTTAGAACAATTATTGTCTATACATCAATTATGCTGTGCACCGCGGCTGCTATTAATGAACAGAACTTTAGAGGTTGAACTCTAAATATACGGCAAATTTTTGTATAATTCATGATTCTCCTGCAACGAAGTATGTGATATCAAAACGGCGCTCTAAAAGTATATTGATTCAAGACAAAAAATTAAATTTCTAAAATTCAGAACATTCGCCATCCCAATCGATGTTACTAACTTTTTTCGTTGTAAACGAACTTGAAAAGTCGAAAAGCAAACTTTCAAAACCGCTGCTTATACTAGAGAGTGAAAATTTCTTCCGACGTGCGATTGAAGTGAAGCCATTAATCGGAGCCTTCCGGTTCGTGTTATCAGTATACATATATATACGTTTTTCGTTTTGATTTGAAGAAAATTTTCGGTCAATAGCACTTGCCTTCGGGGATGAATGAAATTTTCGGTCATATATTGGCGAAGAATGAGCTCGGAAATCGAGAAGAACAGGAGATAAAGCGAAATACAGAAGGAACAATTTTGATCACACTCACCTTTCCAATCTTTTTTTTTTATGAAGAAAACAGAGGTATTTGGAGTGACTTTGTGTTAATCTACATGGCCTCCCCTTGAGGTTCGAGAGCGCATTCTTGTAAGCAGTGCCGATATAGCGGTCAAAAAATTAAATTCTCTTCAAGTCCTGCTGTTTTCTTCTTAGTGGTACATAATGTTCATCTGTAAGCGTTGCCTAGGCTTCATAGGAGTTCTATAACCTCAGAGATGACCCCTCGAAATATACGTTTAGTATAATGTTTCAAAATTTCCCAAATCCAATATTCTCTTCAGCGACCGAAAATACGCTAACCTGATATGTCAGATTAAGACTTCCATGAAATAAAACGCGACTTGATTGACAAGAAAGAAACCTGTTATTTAAAATAGCACAGCTGTCATAGCTTGATTTTAAGTCTTGACATCTCTGTTTGAGCTTAATGATACACGATTTGCATAAAAGAAAAGTACACTTGTCGTTTCATGGAATTACAACCGTCATAACTGGTCGTGGTTTTGTGGTGCGTCGCCTATAAATTCAATATAAACACAGCACAATAAACGGAATCTCCAACGTATGCGGCATATTAAGGAAAACTGTCGGTTTTAAACAATAATGCAAACAGATTTTTTTTTTGTTCTAGTAAGCAGCTGACGAGCGTGTCCTACAAAAGACCTAGAGAACCATTCTACAGCCTATTTTATATGTTGCCTTGGAAATTAGGCAATGAATTAAAAATCGTAAGACATCATATGTGTTGGAGGGGGAATTAATGGTTGGACTCGCGTAAATTAGCATAAAAAAGTAATGAAAGCTGCATTTCCGAGTACGATCCGTTAAGTGATGTCGTTTGGCCATGCTATAATACAAAGAAACGTGCGCCACAATTTTTTTTAATATTTTACTCCCTTGAAATAAGCTCTTCTAATGAATTATTAACCTGAAGGGAGATCTGGAAATTAGAATTGAATTAAGACGAATGAATACAGTTTAATCCTTACTATGTTGGGGAAATAACTTCATTGGACGAAGGATGTCCAACTATCGCACAAAGTAACCGCAGTGAGTTCTGACTTCGTTTTCGAAATGATGGTATGATTTCGCTGCCACTTATCAGCCCAAACCTCAAATAAAACGCTTTTTCCTTCCTGTGATCTCCAAGATGTAAAGTCCACAGTTCCTTTGCTCAGAAATATTTCGACTGAAGAGAAAACCTAGGGGTGAATATTGGTTCCAGAAGAAAATTCGATCACGACCTTCCACAAATTATTCTAAGTGTCGTTTCATTTCCTTAGTCCTTCCAATCGCTTCACTTACCCGAAATATCCCGAAGAAGGTGACTCATGTCTGCTATGGTTCTCACGCCTCATGAATTAGAAACCCATAGTTTTTATGATTTGTCCGTCACGATTTTTGTGAGGTGTGTAGAACAGCTCTTCTATCAAACTCGCGTTTACATAACAATGCAAACACAACCAGCATAATAAATGTCCACCCATCGCGGGCGCTTGTGTGGAAAGAATAATACGACTTTTATTAACCGCTCTTATCTAATTTTTATCTTTCGAGACAGTGAATTACCTCTCTGATTTTTTTTTCTTTTGCCATCTTTTGCCGTTTTTTTCCCTTCACCTATGGAAAGATATTGTATATAATTTATCGACCTAAATAATATTTCTTTATCTCTCGTTAAAAATGTTTTTTCATACAACGCCAATATTTCCTTATTGACCGCCTGAACAGAATTGTAACAGATTTATGTTGAAGTCAAGCGGACTTTTTCAACGAATTTCGCTACTACCAAAACAAAACGTACTATAACAAAGAAAATACCAAACTTTTGAAGTCTAAAAGCTGGAGCAACCAAGTTTGGCAAGCCGCTTCAAAACGGACCGCAGCTTTGCAAAGAAAATACTCTCTAAATATTTAAATCAGTATTCAGTAGAACAAACTGTTTGAAAGCTTGTTAGACTAGTCTGCGGGATTAATTCAAATTAACATGTTTGATCGAGTCAGACAGGTAATAGGCAACAATTAATTCTGCATCCGGTGAAATATCGAAAAAAACTCTTTAGGGCAGTCAGTATCGAAGGAAAGGATGGCAAAGTACTCTTCATTTCTCATTTTTTTGCTCATTTGTTTATATATTGTTTTTGGACAATATTTCGTCTTTTTGGGGATGACTAAGCCGTGTTTACTGACAACGGAATATAAATAATCGTTTGCCCTCGCCACGTCTTTCTGGTAATTTGAATTTCAAGTGTTTAACCTTAAATTTCAAATTAACAAATTTACAAAAGTAAAATAAAAATAGAAAAGTTTTTTCGGAAGAAACCTGATCTAAACATGAAGAGTTTTTCTTAAAATACATTGTCAGTGGGCTGAACTGCAAATTAAGAACATGAGAGGAACATCACGTCAGGTTTTTTTCCAAAGCTTTTGCTTTAGGCGGTGTTGCTATATATATTTCTACTTATTAATCATTTATAAGCTATTTTTGCCAAAGTGATTATATTTACATAATGTTGCTGTACAAGCACGTTTTGAAGCAGAACTTTTCTTGATCGAGTAAACGCATATATTCGGCTGGAAACTGCTGTAATTGAAAAGAGCGTCAATTCAAGCTTTATTTTCATCACAGCTTACCACTTGAAGGAAATATCAGCTGACTACCTGCTAAAATTTCCATCCTCACTAATTGATTAAAAATTAAAGAATTTATTTACCAACCTTTTATTTATTGTGACCTAATGGCTCAAGTAAAACAGTCTGTCGGGCTTATCAGCATAAAAATCTAGATCAAAAACAGATAATTCGATTCTGATATCGCTTCAATTTTAATTGCAATGGCCTCGGACACTATCATGCCCCATAGCAACGGTTCTGAACATCTGCCTGCGCTGTTTACTGAAAGGTTTTAACGCTTTAATCCATGAAGTCTACTCATATCAAAACCCAAAATCATTAATCTCTATTTTAAACCTGGTGGCAGTTCTACACGTCACATCTTGCAATTAATGTCCACACGGATATTGATTTCTTCTCTTCCTTTTGGCTTTGTTTCTTTTGTTGTTGTTGAGGCTCTACTATAAATATCTGACACATAAATGATATAGAGATATATGTCCGTCATTGGCTGCAAACTTCAAAGAAACGTGAAAACGACCAAAAAGCTCTGTAAAGAAAAAATCTCACGTCTTTTTAAAGTTATTGTTGCGGCCTCGGTGCCATAAAAAGAATTTGAAAATCTGCAATTGGACAAGAATTTCACATATACTTGAGGTATTTTCTTTGTGACGGAGAAATAAAGCGATGGCGATGAATGAATTTGGGAGGATTCAATCCGCAAACGTTACACTGATGACAGAATAAAAAATAGAAGTCAGCCGGTTATCATGTCCTCAAATACAGGCGCTGCGGTTAAAACGGCGTAACCAAGACAGACGAGCTGGCGGACGAAGAACTATGAAGGAGCCTAGCTGATTCCTCGTGTCACCAGCGTTGAGCGGAAGCACTTGTCAGGGCCTGCTCGCGGTCTAGTTTCAAAGCAAGACTAAGTTGATCCGCATCTCATGGATTAGCCTGCAGTGCCGGCGTATTTTGGGCGCACGAGTGCACATTTTGTATTAAGCCGCCATCTTAGATTTGGTAACTGTGGAGGATTGGGGCGAGGAAATATTTGCCGAGCGAGTAGGTGTTAAGTGGAAAAATGGGCAATGGGGGAGAGGGAGGGGAAGGAAAAAAATACGCCTGCCTGCAAAGCCTGTGATTTCGCAAAACCCGTACACCAGATGGACGGGGCCTCTGATTGGTGCGGTAGGTTGAAACTGGATTGATGCCTGTCATCTAAAGTAGTTTTCTTCCAGTCGTTCCGCGATCGGGAGCGGGAGTGATTTGCAGAGAAAATGGCGGATATGCTAAGCTTTGATGCCGCTCTCGCAGAAGCGCTTTTATTACGCCCGGAACAAAAGGAAGCCATTTCTTCTCTTGTTCATGGAAGGGATTTACCAGCAGTTCTTCCGACGGGCTTTGGTAAAAGCCTTGGTAAAAGCCTCATCTTCCAGTTGTTGATCCGCTTGAAGCAAATATTATCTTTGAAAGCTGCGTGTGTGATTATGGTTCTGTCCTGGTGTACCAGTTCACAAGGGAATTACCATTGTTCTTTCTTTGTTTAGGAGTCATTGGTTAGCTGTTGTGTATTGTTCGGTCTTTTGTATCGGCTCTTGTGAACCGGTACACGAGGACAGAACCGTGATTATTGTCTGTCCGCTCAAAAGCATCGTGCAAGATCAGCTGGCGGAAGCGTCTTTAATGGGTTTGACGGCGACATCCCTTGCTGGTGCTAGTTTACAAAATTTGTTCGAAAACCCGGCCAATTCATCAGGATTTGTGGCAAGTAACATACTATTACATTTTAGGTAATCGCTGAATTCTTTAGAAACAGCCTTGCGGATTGCAGTGTT